CAAAAGGAAGCCGGTGAGTCCCAGCAGGAGAAAGTCCAGCCGCGATTCTTCTCACCCACCGGCCAGGTTGAGTCTCCGTCTTTCCAAAGATGGCAGGAAAAGCCAGAAATTCATCAGCTACAGAAAAAAACCAAATCCTTTTTCATCCGATACCCGGATTAACTCATGAGGGCTTGGAGGGAGGAAGATGAGGAGGAAGATGAGAATATGAAATAAAATCTCTGGTATAAATCTTTGTGGAGAATCTATGGGGAGAAAAGGACCCCTTTCAGCCCCTCCCCCTAGGAAGGCCCACACTGCAGGGGGTCAGTTGATGGGCAGGGACCGGAGGGAGGGAGGCTCCGCCCCTTTCAGGCTGGGAGGGGCCAGGTGATGCTAGGTTGGACTAGATGACTTACAAGGTCCCTTCTAACTCTGATTCTCTGCTACTAATCTATATTCCGATGCCTCCCCATCTCCTCTCCTGGGGCTTCCAAGGGGGGATCCGAGTTCGGCCTTGGGACTGCAAAGGGGGACTCGACAAGAGGGAAATTGACCCTAATTGACTTAATTAGGGGGTTAATCAAGAGGGGAGCCCTCCCTCCCTTTGTCCTGCAGAGGCTTCGCATTAACAGGTGGAGGGGCGACCAGGTGAGGCAGCCAAGGAACAGCGGAACATCGCCCGGCGCCTACGCCAAAGGACCCGGGCGGTGGCTCCTCTGCCTGGAGACGGATGACGCTCACAAAGCTCACTTTTTCATTGGGTGGGACGGATATTCCACATTCTGGAAGTCGGAAAGCTCTGCCCCTCCCCCCTCTTGGTCTCCCCTCCCTCCTCCCTCCCCACTTTCCCCTCGCTCTCTTCCCTCCCCTTCACTCTCCTACCTCCCTCTTCTCTGCCCCTCCCCCTTCCTCTTCCCCCTCAGTCCCTCCCTACTCCCTCCAGTATTTAGAGGAGGGGCCAAGGACCAGGGAAGGTGAGACCCCCTTGTTGCCCCCCTTTAGGGTTTCCGCTCTACTCTAACTTTGTCCCCTCCCTCTGGCCAAGGGGAATTGGGTTCCCACGAGGTCTTCCAAACGGCAGGAGCTGAGAAAGTGGGGAGGGGGAGGATTTCAGGGAGACGACCAGGCAAGGCTGAAAGAGGAAAAAGAGGGAAGTGAATCTTTTGAGGGAGGTGAGTTCGAGGGGGCCCTGAAGCTTCGCCCTCCTTGTCCTGGAGGAGTTTCAACCACTGCAGTAGCCCCGATGCTTCCTGGTGGTCTCCCATCCTCAGGCTAAGCAGGCTGGTCCCTCTCAGCCAGGGGAGGCCATGAGAGGCTGGGCAGCTGCCGGCTGTTGAGGGCGGATGATGAAAGATCAGCTGATGGTTGGTGATGCCAGTTCAGCTCAGAGCCCCTACCCTCCCCCAGCTGCAGCAGGCAGGCATCACACAGGGTGTGATGGCCTGGATCCCCCTCCCCTCTTGCTCCCCCCTCACTTTCCCCCTGTCCCACAATTGTGTCTTTGGACACACCCAGTCACACAACATGGGCCCAGATCCATCACTCTTCTCGTCAAAGCAGAACTTCTAGGCTCTTCTCATGTTTCCCCTCCCCCGCAAGATTGTGATTTCCTCTGAGTTCTTCCTCACACCACCACCACCACCACCCCCACACACAGAGCATCACTTCTTCCTTCAACCTCCATCAGCCAAAGAGGCACTTGGGTTTCCCTTCCCCAGCCTGAAGCTTTGGGCTCCTCCGAAACAGAACTGAGGAACTGGCCAGTATCCAGCAGGCAACAAGCCAGGATTCCTCACCAGGGCAGCTCAGGGATTGTCCTCCTCCCCCCATGGCTGAGTCTCCAGGTGGGGCAGCCACAAGGTCCTCTGGCCCACCGGAAGTTTCCAGGGACTTTTTCATTCCTCCCACATGAAAGAGGGAAAAGGGATAAGAAGAATCTGTGGACGTCATTATTTCTGGAAACCCCTCAGTCGCCTCTTTGAAAGCTGCTCCTGGGAAACAGCCAACCCCCCTTGCTTGATTCTCTCAAAATTCGCTGGTTCAGTTCCCCAGAGCAATGAAGCATCTATCACCAACAATGCCTTTTCTTTGTTAAGGAAACCTGAAATTATGTTTCTGTCATTGATACATTTGTTGTTGCCCCTTCTCCAAGTTCTTGCACGCTGTCTTCCAAAGGGAGATTTTTGCCGACAGGAGCCCAAATCTTCCCTGTGTTTGAGAGACTTTCTCCAAGGACACAAAGATTCTTCCTGTGGTGGCCCCAAGGCCCCGAGACCCCAGATGAGGAATTGTGAGGGGGAAATTCTGCCCTTAGAGATCTAGCTGGAGTCCTGCAGAGCCAGTCTGGATGACCTCTGGAGGGGGCGAGGCTCAATTGGAGGGCTACCTTAGGGCATCTAGAGATGTTGGGGAGAAGGGAGGGGTCTTCCACTCAGGGCTGCCCCAGTGAACCCCCTCCCTCTTTCCCGCAGAGCTGGTCTTCCCCTCCATGGCAAATGTCTTCTACACCAGGAAAGGCTTCAGGTGGGTTTATTGGAGATCATCTAGTCCAACCCCCTGCTTGGGCCTACACCATTTAGGTCTAGTCTATACCACTTGAATCTGAGCCCAAAAGAGGGAGGGAGGAGGGTGTGGGGTGCCAAAATGGGGCAGGATCTTCCTCCAGTTGTGAGGGAGAGAAATGGTTGATATGGCCGGGTCAATGTAGGGGGGTCTCAAGTGCCCCCAATGGCTCCCCGCAAACGCTCAGGGAAGACCCTGCCTGCTGGCATTGTGCTCCTCCAAAGGGGGCTTGAGGGGAAGCAGAACAAGGAGGCCTCTGAGCAGGAGGGGGGTCCTTCCCCTCCCCGGATCTGCCCACCATCCTCCCGAACCGGTTCTGTCTTCGGACCCCCAAAGGAGCTGGGATCCAGAGGCAGCAGAGGGAGGAGCCTCCTGTGGGGGCGGCAAAGAGGAAGGAAGGAGTCCGGGGTTTTCTGCTTCTAAAGTTTATTCTTTCATAGCAAAGCGAAGGGAAGGGAAGTGATTCATCAGAGGAATAATGTAGATGAAGCTGCTGTGGGTTCAAAGCCAGGAGAGATGAAGGGCCTAGACGGACAGGTCAGTCTAGCATCCCAGAGGACAGTCTAGATGGTCTCCATCTTTCCCTCCCAAGAAAGGGAGGCCCCCAAAGGAAGCTACCATCCTCCTCCTCCCCCCAACCTGCCACCTTCGGCCTCCATTTCTCAGAGGTTGCAAACAGGACAAAGAATCATCAGCTACGAAAGAAAAAAAATATCCTTTGCATCAGAGAGCAGGATTAATCCATGAGGGCTGCAGAAAAGGAGACAGAGAAGAAAATTAGAATATAAAGAGACACTTTTTGTGTAAATAACATTTTTTTCTTCCCTTTCAGCCCCCCAGCCCCAAGGCAGGCCCACACTGCAGGGGGATGATTGACAGGCAGGGACAAATAGAGGGAGTATCTGGCCATTTCTGGGAGGAAAAGGCTGGGAAGGACCAGGGATTCCTCCCCATTTCATCTCCAGGGGATTCTGGGATTCTCCCTATTTGTCTTAATTAGAGGGTTAATCAAGAGGAGAGACCCACCTCCCTCCCCCCTGCAGACGTTTCATATGAGCAAAGGACATGGGGCCAGGATGGGGGTTGGAGAAAAGGGAGGAGCCTGGGGGTCACTTGGCCAGAAATTGTGTGAATTCCCACAAGGAGAAGCTGGTTAGGAAGAACAGCCTGTCAAGGTTCTGACTAGTGAACCCAAATGAGTCTCCATGGAGAGCCAAGAAGGATCATCTGGGACTGGGGGGGGGGGGAGGAAGGGGTCCAGTTCACAGTGGAGTTTTGGAGAGAGTTCATGAAGGTGATAGGGTCATCATTCTCAAGGGCTTAGCTCCACCCTCCATCCGAGTACGGACGGAGCTGCAGAACGAACTAATGCTACTATAGAACAACACCTGAGATGCTGTGTTAATTATCAGCAATCTAGCTGGAAAGATCTCCTGCCATTTGCGGAAGTGGCCCAAAATACCACAGTGCATATGAACATGGGACTCACCCCTTTTAAAATAGCCACAGGGGTGGAATTTGTCCCCATGCCTGAATCCCCTCAGGAACCCCCTTCCAGAGTGAGCCTAAAAGGATGGGTGGGTTGCTTACAAACTATTGGGGGGAAGGGGAAATGTAAACCTGGGATTCTCCTTCCCTTCCCTTCCCTCCTTCCCTTCCCTTTTGCAATTTCCCAAAACTTGGAAAAATTCTGCGCAAGATTTTAGCGTTTCTCTGTTCTTTTCTTTTTGATTGCAATATTTTTTCTGATCTCTGTAAGGAAAAGCTGCCCAAAATCCAAAAATTTGTTTAGCCACAGAAAGGAGATATTTAAAAAAATATATTAAAAAAACACCTATAACTTGTAGGAGGGGCTGAGATGAGGGAGGAAGAGGAGAAACTCACCTGCAGGAAGTTGGATGGGAGTGGCTGGAAGGAGAAAAAGAGCCAATCAGGATCCTTCATGGGCTGGAGGACTCAGGGGGTCCCCCTCCGCACTGATAGCCCATAATAGGTTGGACGATCTTCCCTTATAGCCCCCTTGATGAACAGAAGTTCCCAAAACTATTCCTCAAGGAGACCCTCTTGGCCACCTGCTGAGCTCGATGAGAGTCCTCCCCTAGATGGTCCCCTCCCCACAACCTCTCCTCCAGCCTCCCAGACTCACCTTTCTTGCTTTTCAGGTAGGAGAAGAGCCCCACAGCCAGGAAGGCCGCTCCAATCACGGCCCCCATGATCCCTGTCCAGAGTTTGCTCCTGGCAGAGCTGGAGGAACGGGGCTCTGGGGAAGGAGAAGGAGCCTCACCTGAGCAGGAGGATCAGGCCCCCCGTCCCCCAGGAAGGTTCATTCCGGCTCCCCCCACAGGGAGGTTCTCTCCCCCTTCTCAGGGCAGGAGGGGAGGGAGGGGAGGGGCTTACCCCACTGGACGGTGATGGGGGCCTCCAGGCTGACATGCCCCACTTGGCAAGTGTAGACGTCCCCCCACTGGGGCTGGGTCTCCAGCATCACCTGGAGCTGGTAGGTCCAGTCTCCGTTCTGGAGCTCCTCCCCAAAGGCCACGCCCTCCTCCTCCAGCTTCCCGTTCTTCAGCCACTGGATCTCGATCTCCAGGGGGTAAAAGCCCGTGGCGGTGCAGAGGAGGATGGTGTTGGGGGAAGCGGGATCCATCTTGGTGGGGGAGATGGTGACAGTGGGCTTGGCTGGAGGGAAGCAAGAGAAGGAGGCACATGAGAGGCACAGGAGGGACCAGAACAGGAGACCAAGTTGGTTATTTCAGGCCAGGATCCCCTTCCACTCCTGAAAATATTCTGTGTTTTGAGTCATTTTCCAAAGTAAGTTGCAGCAAGAAATTAAAAGGGATCCTGAAAGAGGGAAAAAAGTGAAATCCTTCCTGATTGGGATCAGTTGCAATCTCCAAAAAGGAAGAATTCCCCAAATAGGCAGATCCGACAGGGATAAACGCTAGAAATGGCCAGAGGTGGAAGGAACCTTCTGCCAGATGTGGTGGAGATGGAAAGAAATAACGCAGAAGACGGGGAGGGCAAACACAGCAGGATTCGGAGGATTCTTGGGATCTCATGGAAAATGGAACCACACTTTTAATCAAGTGTAATTCCACATTTGTTTGTTTAATACATTTAGTTATTTATTAAATTAATTTGCCAAAGTGGCCAACTAAACCAAAGACTTACAGACCCTCTCCTAGCCGTGACTGCCACCTGCTCTTCGGGAGTCCAGGAGAATCTCCAGAATTGGGAACTGAATATACAGAATATATACAGGAATCAGAAATGGCAGAAGAAGAAGAAGAAGAAGAAGAATGAGGAGGAGGAGGAGGAGGAGGAGGAGGAGGAGGAGGAGGAGGAGGA